TCATTCTTAAGTAGTAATTAGACCAACAGATTTTCCCAACCCAAGACTACAGTAACACAGAAAGACAGCAAGAATTCTTATTTCCATAATTAACAAGATTCACCTAACCTGTGAAAATAAAGTAGTATTGAAGACTTACATGGTATGTTTTTTCCTAAAAGTACTATATCACCAACACAGATCACAATCTCACTAGTTAAGTGAAGCTGCCCACAGTGACACAAGTGAACAAGTAAAACCTGGGATCTAAGATTCCATTCAAGTCAGATGAGTTTCATATTATACTTACTGTTTATACATAAACTTGGCATTTGAAAACTAACTATGACTTCCCCTACACATGCCAAAAAAACCTATTGCTAAACTTCTGTTACTTAATAAGTATTTTATAAATCTATAAGAAACGTGATTCAAAACTGTTTTGTAGGAGACAGAAAGCTTCTGAGAGAACTGTTCATGTTTCTTTCACTTATTTAAAATCACAGTTTCTAGATTAAGGATTAAGTTTTCTATAGAAAGACCATTATCTTCTTTCCATTTGAGGAAAATGAAGTAAAAATGGGAGAAGGGGGGAAATCACTGGGAGGCAGAATGGCTGCTCTGCCTTCCTGGATGTGCAGCTCATTAATCTGGACTACCCGGGAGCTTGGTCCTGGAGTCTAGGATACATGACCAGGAAGACTACTCTGGAACTAACTTTAAACATTCCTTTGGAAACTGATAAACACAGCATGACAGTTCCAACAAATTGGAGACATGTAGTTACCAAAATCTTAGGGGCCTGGTTTTATGTATGTACAAGCCCATACTTGTACAAGTACCAAAAGAGTCTATAACCAAAAATCACTATGTCTATTAACAAGTATTTCATACCAAAATACAAATTTATATTGCACCCTTATGGAATCATACCACAAGATGGGCACCAGAACTGATCTCACCCTGTGCACAGTCAGTTCCTACTGAATAGGAATTGCAATTCTAATATCAAAGACCTTTTTCCACCTTCACATTCTCCAATGGTTGTTCACAGGGGTTATACACGCTTCTTACCCAGGTGTCTACAATTCTACCCATTTCTCTCTTCATATAAGAAGGAAATACATGGTAAGCATCATTCCTAATTTTAAAAAGAACAGATTATCCTGGAACCTTCAGTACCTGAACTGTCTTAACGTGATGTCGTAGGACATCTCACAATATACTCGTATTGATCTCATGCTGATCAATATATATCGGTGTGTTCGAACAAACTAATTTATTATTGCTACTCTTGGAGAGTGTAAGATATAATTATGAACAATGTCTTTTAAAGATCTACATTATTTTTTACAAAAGTGGATTACATCCAAAAAGTACAAGCTCAGAATCCTTAGCACAGTTAACCCAAAGTGAGCATCTTTTCAAAAAGCATTCAACAAGTCACTACGACATGTTAGAATATATATATATGGAAAGTACCATATTTTAGTATACTAGCATTTATAATATATAGTAGTAGATAAACTAGTAGTTAGTGTCCTTAAATATTCTGAGATACTTCATGTCAATTTATTTTATGGAATGTGCCTTTTCAAATATATACCAATGGGATGTAAAGAAAAGAACCTTTACCTTTAATAGAGGGTAGCTAGAAAAATTACCCTCATTGGATTAATGTGGTTAAAATATGAAAGCCACAAACAACAATGACTAAACTTGACTATTCCAAACCACCAAAGTGTAAATATGTGTGAATAGTTAAAATCAAGCTATTCTTATTCTAGCAACTCACTACTTTCCCAAGGCAATGCAGGCCATTTTCAGATAACTCTGATTATTAGATCTCTTAAGATTGTGTCCAATGCCTGCCTCCTGGAACCTTCCATCGGTTAGCCCCTTCCTGCTCTTTAAACTCATACAGATCAAATCTAAGTCCTCTCTCACATGATTAGTAAGCAGGTATTGGTATACAGTAACCCTATAAACCCTGCTCCCTACTCTGCCCTGTCCTCCGTCTTGTCTCCTATCCAAACAGCTCCATCTCCTTCACAAAGTCCCCATCGCAAGGCTTCAAATGTCTCGGCCCTCCTACTCCAACGTGTGGACCCTTTCAAGGTGTCGTCCCAGGAGTGAACACAATGCTTAGGCTTGCCTGTGACAACATAAAAGACTATGGGCCTATCACCTTATTCGGTCCATGGCTGAGAGGACATAAGGACACTGCTGATTAACAGGAAGCCCAGAGTCACTGAGAGGGTTGTGTTCTTTACACAGGAGGCTGCTTTTACATACGGCCACTTCTTACTTTAAATTCTATAATTTCCTATGTAAGACTTTTCATTCCTGCTGTTAATCTCCATTTGATTAGATTTGATCTCTTGATTCACCTTGATTCTGATCTCATATCCTAACTGTTCCACTCCATAGCTATCCCTCACAAAACTGAATGATCTGAAAATCTGATCAGCACACCAACAATATCCTCTAAAAAAGTATTTTGCACCTGGCACGTTAAGTGGGAATTCAGTATGTGCTGAATGAATAAATGAGTTCATATGCTCTTTATTTACAGTACCCCTGCCTTATCCAGTTTTGCTTTTTAGTTTCAGTTAACTACGGTCAATTGCGATCCAAAAATATTACAGTACTTTAAGAAAGAGACAGAGACCACATTAACATAACAGTTTCTTTTCCTTTTTTGGGGAGGACATGGAGTCTTGCTCTGTCACCCAGGCTAGAGTGCAGTGGCACAATTTTGGCTCACTACAGCCTCTACCTCCTGGGTTCAAACCTCAGCCTCCCAAGTAGCTGGGATTACAGTTGCTGACCACCACACCTACTTTTTTTTTTTTTGTATTTTTAGTAGAGTCAGGTTTTCACCATGTTGGCCAAGATGCTCTCAAACTCCTGACCTCAAGTGATCCACCCACCTCAGCCTCCCAAAGTTCTGGGATTACAGGTGTGAGCCACTGCGCCCAGCCTTATATAACTTTTACTACTATATATTGTTATAATTTTTCCATTTTATTATTAGTTATTACTGCTGTCTCTTACTGTGCCTAATTTATAAATTAAACTTTATCATAGGTCTATATGTATAGAAAAAAACAGTATTTATGGGATTTAGTACTATCTGTGACTTCAGGTATCCGCTGGTGGGGTCTTGAAATGCATCTCCCACAAATAAAGGGGAAAGACTACTATAATCCTAAAAATTCTGTAAAGCATTATCACTCATTTTATTATGATACTAACGATATCTGAGAGCTTAGAATAATCGTGATCTTCTAATTGCAAATCCGGTAACTACTGCTCATCTCCTCTATATATTCATTGCAAAAGTACTAAATCAGACAAAGATGGGAACAAAGGTCTTGAACAGGGCACCCAAGATTATGCTAATCCAATAGTCTACAATATGGCTAAAGCTAACAATAAACTACCCAGTCTGTTTCAAATTTCCTCATGCTACACACCTATTTTTTTTTAACAGGGTCTTACCCTGTCACCTGGGCTAGAGAGGTGTGATCATGGCTCACTGCAGACTTGGCCTCCTGTGCTCAAGATATCCTTCCATTCCATCACAGCCTCCAAAATAGCTGGGACTACAGGCACACGGCACCAGGCATGGCTAATTTTTGTACTTTTTTGTAGAGACGGGGTTTTGCCATGTTGCCCAGGCTATCCTGCCTCGGCCTCCCAAAGTACCAGGATTACAGGCATGAGCTACCACATCGGACCTTAATGGTTTTCATTAATATAAATACAACCACATATTCCTAATGCCACATTCATGAGAAATTTAGTTATTGGTATGTTTAAGTTTTTTATGGAAACAGTGATACAACGCTGTTATAACTACGTAGTTTTTAAAACAATATGCAAATCAGTCTATGAATGGTATTTACACATTTAACATGTTTATGAGAAATGTTTACCACTGGCCAGGTGTGGTAGTTCACGCCTGTAATCCCAACACTTTGGGAGGCTGAGGCGGGCAGATCACGAGATCAAGAGACCAGCCTGGCCAACATAGTGAAACCCAGTCTCTACTAAAAATACAAAAATTAGCTGGGTATGGTGGCACATGGCTGTAGTCCCAGCTACTCAGGAGGCTGAGGCAGGAGAATCGCCTGAACCTGGGAGACGGAAGTTGCAGTGAGCCAATACCACGCCACTGCAATAGCCTAGGTGACAGAGTGAGAATCCCTTTCAAAAAAGAAAAAAAAAAGGCGGTGGGGGGAGAAAGAAATGTTTACCACAATCAATTACAATCATGCTCTGGAGAACTTTTTTTTTTTAGCACTTGTAGGATTTAGAACTTGTAATGCTAATTTTCATAGCTCCAATGGTACTATGAATTGGCATTATTTTCTCTCAAATGTGAATACCTACTGGTAGTTTGTAAGGTATTACCTTTAATCAGTTAGGAAGCTCACCTTAACAGTATAAATTATTTAAATATAAACTATGATTAATTCATCATAAACACTGAAATCCTGTTCCTTTATTATGTTCCTCTTCAGTGGCTACCTTAATTATGTAATTTATCTGAGTTAATTTTTTTTGTTCTCATCACAAAACAAGGAAAAAAACAAAAGACTATACAGCAAAAAGGCCAAATAAATAAATTAGTAAAGTAAGAATCGTCATAGTTTTGGCCTTTATTCTCTGATACAAAAACAAAGTCTTTAGCATCTGCCCTATTTCTTCTCACCTATGAGATGCTATCTACACTAGAAAAGGAGTTAGTAGATTGTTTCCTAACTTGAATCTTCAGTTCACAAATTGGCCTTAATAAAGAATACATACCTTGCAGAGAACACACAGACCTAGAAAGTAAGCCAAGTAAATCTTAATGCCTGTATTCATCACCTCCGGTTTCATTCAGTGGAGGCTTCAAATAACCACGGAAGTCTAAATGCAAGAATTGCTACAGCCCCATCTACTGGAGAGGTGTAGATAACTGAGTCAATTTCTAATAAGTTTGTCCTTATGTGCATAGGTAAGAACCTTACCTACATCTTTTCGTCCTGGTTTTTCAAAACGTCTGTCACCCCTGGAAAAGATAAAATAGGTTTCAAACAAAGTTTCACAGTGATATATACAGATCTCCTATCTGTGACACTCACTTTCCCATTTTTCTAAAAGCATTTTTTCATCAAATTACAAAACAAATAAATACATAGTTATTTCCTAAAATTTGGAAAATACAGAAAAGCACAAAGATAAAAAGAAAAATATCTATTCCCTCATCTACCAAAAGCTGTTTCTATTGACTCAAAATATTATCTTTTTAATGAGATAGTATACAGTTTTATATACTACTCTTAGAATGTGTTTTTCCACATAATTAAATATTTTAAAAAACACCTCTACTGCTCATGTAGTGTCCTACTGTGTGGATATACAATTATATAAGGGCAATACCAATCTGTTTGGCTTATGTCCAATTATTTTTTATTATAAATATCATCACATTTTTGTACATACATCTTTGTGCAATTGCCCTTACTCAAGTTGACAGGCTTCATATAAAGTCATAAAGAATATAGAGAGAAGATACTTTTACTAATAGAACAAACAATAACATGACAATTTGGTAATTGCTATCAAATACCAAATCAAATTAACTATGCTGGCACTAATATATTAACTTATCTATCTAGAATCCTTCTTTCTTTAAGTAAGAATCATTTAAAAATTTCTGACATTGGCAGGGTGTGGTGGCTTATGCCTGAAATCCCAGCACTTTGGGGGGCTGAGGCAGGTGGATCACCTGAGGTCAGGAGTTCAAGACCACCCTGACCAACATGGAGAAACCCTGTCTCTATTAAAAATACAAAATTAGCCGAGTGTGAAGGCACATGCCTGTAATCTCAGCTACTCGGGAGGCTGAGGCAGGAGAATCACTTGAACCTGGGAGGTGGAGGTTGCAATGAGCCGAGATCGCGCCATTGCACTCCAGCCTGGGCAACAAGAGCAAAATTCTGTCACACACACACACACACACACACACACACACACACACACACGAAAAAAAATCTAACATACAACTTGCTATTCAATACTTAACAGCATTTTTAAAAATGAAACCCTGTAACTGTACAAAGACATTTCTCTCTGCAGAAAGCAAAAAATAAGTAAGTTTTACATGCCAAGAAATTTTTATGCCAATATGTGGATCCTTTAGTTACCTTTCTTCCCAGCTCTGTGATCTATGCATTTCTCTGCCACCTCCTCGACCAAATACACCCTCTACTTCATCAAAACTTCTTTGGTAGAAACCACATTCACCTCTGCCTCTGCCTGAAAATAAGAAAACATAAAAAAACTGATAGTCAAATGTCAACAGGTGGCACACATTCATCCCCATAAATTAATATCTAAAGTTCTATCTTTATACAAGTAGAACATCTACATTTAAATACTGAGCAAGGCCTGATGATCTTGACTCATGAGACCAACAATGGCACTGAAGTAGGTAGACCACAAGAGGCTGAAAGAAACAAGTTAAAAAAACTATGTAACAGAATGTAAGAGTCCCAGTCCTGAACAAAAAAGTATCAACATTAAGCTCTTTAACAAAAAGTTGATTAGTGAGATTCTAAGGAGTTCAATAAAACACTACTATAAATTAAACCTTTTTTTATTTTCATGAAAATGGAAGAAATCTTGGTTTAGAGAGTTTAAGAAGACAGGAGCTAAAGTTAAAAAGCCAAGCATAAAAGTTAAAATAACTTATCTAATCCCAGAGAAAGGATAACTTAAAAGCGCCAATTCTAAAACCATCAAATCTCATTAACGCCATACAGTGTCTTCCACAGTAACCAAAGGTACAGTTTATTCTATACTCAAATCTTGAGGTATTAAAAAAATGTATCAGGACTAAACTTGAACCAACAGAGCTGGCAGAGTGTGTGGATATAGATATTTAGAGGCTCTGGTGGTTCAAGTGTAAACTTGCCTTTACTGAAGGCAATTTGGTTAGATCTATCAACATTTGACTCAACAATTCTACTTAGTATTTATCCTAATAGGAATAGTTGTACCAAATGCAAATATATATGTATGAAGATGTTCAAAATAATTGAAAAAAAAAAAAAACCTAGAAATCTAATCAATAAAGGATTAGCTACATAAATTCTGATAAAACAATACAGTAGAACACTATGATGCCGCAGCGGATTAAGTACTGAAACTATTCCGTTCAATGACAAAAACACACTGAAGAACAATGCATATAAAAATTATTCCATTTATATAAATAATATAGCTACACCGTTAAGGTCAGGAAGACTATAAATCCAATTGTCAGATCTGGAGGCAGAAGACCGTACGCACTTTTAGCTTTATACTTTATGTACAGTTTTCCTAACAAACATGTAGCATTTGTATTCAATACACAGGAGGGGTGGCAGTCTAAGGATGTATTTATAACTCGATGAAATCTTAGCCATCATACCTAGTTCAATTTTTCTCACAGTGTAAAATGGCCCAAAGGAAAATGATGATGGATCTTGATGATGTAGCCCAAAGCTAAATATAACTGAGCTAAATAATTACTTCGAATATCCATGCAGTATTTCTATCTCTTGCATGTAATTTATCAAGAACTCCGAATACATCTGTACTTTTATATGACTATATTATGAAATACCAAAATAAAACACCGAACTATTTTGTGTGTAATCTTCGAAACAATGGATACCCTCTTGACCACTGCAAGTATCCACTTCTCCATTTGTCAAATGGAAGTGAGAAACACAGTGGAACAATAATAAAGTTACCCTTCCTTCCACTTGCATAAACTTCACTTAAAGCCAACTCATAGTTTATGTACCTCTCCCTTTCAGGAAATGTATACATTGCATTTAAGATCCTAAAATAATGTAATACTAACTGTCATATAACACCTGTCCTCTACAAGGAAGATTTTAGGATGGGGGCAAAAGTCTTTCCTTTTAGAGAAAGCCATTTTCTCAGGAAGGCCATTACACCTTGAAGAAAACGTTTTATTCCAGAAATAGAAAAATGTAAAAAATAGCCTCCAGTTTACCAGAAAAACAGGCAAAACACATAGAAAATATTTCCTCAGTTATGACTAGCACTGACACAGGTCCTGCTAATGATACTAAAACTTTATAGTGGGACACATTACAATGATCAGGTTCTAAAGCTTTCCAGCACCAAAAAAATTTAATCTTCTATAAAGCGGCTCCCATACATGAACAAGCAAGTAAATATAACATGATGAACCTTTCATAAAGCTCAATTAAAGAACTGTTCTACTGTCTGAGAGTTCACCCTATTCTTCTTGGGAATTAAAACATACTTCCTTTTAATAATGATGAAGACAATGGTTGAGAGTTGTGTCAATCTGCTTTATTTTTAAACAACCTAACCAAATAGGAAGATGAGTTTCATGTTGTTTTAACCACCTATTTAGTTTATTTAAATTTTACTAGTTCATGATATTTAGCAGTCGGGAAATCAGTCAGTTTCCACATCAAAGTTTCCTCAAGTTGCAAACAGCCAAGATAATCATCTAAGGTTAGCTCTGCCTATACAATGAAAAGCCACAATAATCATTATTTAACCAGCAAGTTAAAATTAAGTAATGAGTGGAAAACACAAAACCACAGATTATAATTACAACCTTGTTTTAGAAAATAAGCTATGGAGAACATTAAAAAGAATCACGGGTGGTTGAGATAATGTTGAAAGTACTTTTTGCATAAAGTCAATTCAGTCGTTTGACTAGTTTCATGCCATTCTTCAACATTAATATGTTAATAAAGTCACTATTTCTTACATATGTTACAACATCTTTTTTATAATAGCCTAATTAAATTCCAAATGTAAGCTTTCTATCCTATGTGATAACCCTTCATTTCATAGAAACCAAAAAGCAAGGAGAAATTCATCAATTATTCACTTGGTTCTCAATTAAGTAATTAAGGGGGCAGACTGTTTAGAGATTGGTTGGTATTTGCAGCACACAAAGTCGGTGTGATTCACACTTCTTCAAGAAGATCTATCCCCGGCTTGCCATGAAAAGCACTGGAGGCAAAGCTACCCAAGTACAACCTCTCCTCACCACCAAACCACAGCAGAAAAACACAGGAAATGTCCAAGTAGCAGGCCAGAGCCGTGAGTGGTCTGTCCCAACTTGAAACCACCACCATGCTACCAAGATGCATGGATCTCAAATTCTGGACGAATGTAACCTAACTTGGTGTATGAATCTGAATTGCCTGTAAGCTTCTGAATCCCACACATGCCTAGATCCTACCACCCAAAATTCTGTTGCACAGTTATTTCTTTTAAGTTTTACAGATTAGTCTATCATCTCCTCAGGTTTGAAAAACAAACAAAAAAAACCCCACACAGCTAGGTAATAGTACCTAGCATAACAAGTGAAGAGTTTTAATCAGACACTTTGCACCTGGATTCTCACATTCTGAGTGGACTACTAAAAGAAATCTACTCTCAGGAATGCACATGCATTTTCTATCAAGACTGTAGATAAATTGTTCTATTTATAAAAAATTTAAATACTCTATATTCATGATCATGCCAATCTTGGTGGTATGATACACAGAGACAATGGTCTCTCTTATTGTAGACACCCAATTCTTCCATCTCTAAAGCATCTCTTAGAGAAAATTACAAGGTATATTTAGACCACTGTTATGATTTAGTCAATGTAAGAGCTAAATGCTTAAGCAAATATTTACATTACAAATATTAAGAATGTCCTCATATATGAGAAAACCAACGAACCCAAAATAGGGAGCAGATATCAAAGAAACAAGTAATATCAAAATAAAAACTATTTTTCCAAGACATAAATCTGTAAAACTATAGGTTAAATAAATGAATGTGGCAGAATTATCTTTTGTTCTACCCCTATAGGTCCTAGTACTGATGAGGCAGTTTTTACTGAAGCCCCTCTCTGGCTGGAGCAGCTCTTGGCACACACCCCTCATAGAGCAACTGTCACACAGTACTGCAGGTACTTCAGGGCTGCTTCCACAGTCGACGCTTCAGGAAGTTTTGGCTCCCTGGGGATGTGGAACATGGAACATGGATAAGGAACAACGATTTGATGGAGTCAACTGGGACTGTCTAAACTCCCTCACGTTCAAATCTCTACAGCTAGAATTATAATCCTCTGTTCTAAATCAGGGGTTATAGAGAAGATACCTTAAAAGGATGGTTTAGAATATAAATGTTCAGGACATTTAGTATGCAGTTAATGTCAAACAACAGCTTTTATTAAATCAGGCATTAAAATATTTCAAAAAGTTTGTTCTTTATCCTCCTCCTCCATTATTACTTTTTTCACATGAAAGCTCACCTCGCCCTCTTGAAGAACTTCGACCTCTAGGAGCCCCCACCACTGTTCCTCCTCCTCCTCGTCCTGTCAATCGCAGGACAGCGGCACTATTTACCGACATGGAGAAGTTTCTCTGCCAAAAAAAAAAAAAAGAGAGAAAAAGGAAAAAAACAAAGAAAAAAAATGGATGAAACAGATAAAATGACATGTTGCTTCTGCCCACATTTCCAATGCATCTATAAAATGGCATCTAATTACTACTAGCAATGGAAAACTGTAATTACACAACATACGAGATGACCCAAAACCTGATTTTACCTGACAACTGCAAATTAACACTTCAAATCAACAAAATTGACAACCAATATCTTACACTATGCGAGATTTGGTGAGGAAATAATAAGCAAACAACCTAAATGCTCTATGTACCCAGAAGTAGATAGGGAAAATACATAACAATAAATACAGAAAATTTTACAAAAAAGATCTGGTTTGTAAGGGTCCTGTAAGCCTTTAACTGGTGAAAGGTGAAAATGAAAGGGCGTTACCAAAAGGTCTGATGCGAGGGTAGTATGAGAAAAGAGAATGATCTTTTTTGCCTTATTCTGCACATCAATGTGAATTAGCAACTCCAAGCAGTATTTAACAGAATGACATGAATCAGAGGTGAATGGGAAAGAGCCAAGGATTCTAAATAAGAGCAACCATCTAAATAACACATTAATGGGAAGAGGAAGGGAAAGCTTAATAAAGTAAAATCCAATCACTCAGTTATTAACTTACATTTGCACCACAGCCAATCTAGAAGAGGGTCAAGAACAAAGAGATAGTGACTTCATTTTTGGCATGGCTGTAGCCAAGGGCCCTCCTGCCAGAGGGAAAACCTTAGGCTTAAGAAATAAGGTAAAAAAGAATCCTGCAATTCAACTAATATTTTACTCCAAAGAAACAATATTTTAGTCCAATGTGGTTTCCACTGACTTGATTCACAATCAATTGAAATGATGTCTATACCACTTTCTTTTGAAGAAGTCAACATCTAATTGTTAAAAAAAACTTCTATTTTCATTATTAAGTTTGTTGTAATAAATAGGCCATCTTCTCCTAGTTGCTTTTTTTTTTTTTTTTTTTTTTTTTTTTCAGAATTTTATTCAAAACAATTTGTTCAAGTAAGTTTTATAAATTTTAACAGCATAAATACGATTTTCTGGCTGGGTACAATGGCTCACGCCTGTAATCCCAGCACTTTGGGAGGCTGAGGTGGGCAGATCACAAGGTCAGGAGTTTGATACTTTGATATTAGCCTGGCCAATATGGTAAACCCCTATCTCGAAAAAAAAATAAATAAATAAAAACATAAAAATAAAAGTAAGATTTTCCTTGGGTTTATAGGTATATAATCATATAATCAAGTAACTTCAAAACTAAAGACTTAAGATAAAATTATCAACTAAAAATAAGAGAAAGACACCAAACTCAAAAATTATATTTCTATTTCAAACTGTAATAAAATGTACTTAATAAAAAAGAAAACTGACTGAAACATATATTAACTTACCTTTTAGCACAGAGTAGGCAGTGGGGTACTGAATAATGCCTCTGGGTATTATTATAATTAAACGACAGTATGAGGTCCCAAAATCCAGATTAATATATTCGAATACTGAAATATTCAAGGTCAGAGCTAACTGCATTATGTATGCTAGGATCCCATGCAGTTGAACACCTATTAACCAAACCATCACATATAAAACTCAATGCACCCATTTGTACGTCTGGGGACACACTCATGTATTTTCACACACTCTCATACATTGCTGAAGAAAGCATAAACTAGCATAATCTCTCTAGAAGGCAATTTCTAACAATTATTTAAATGCCCATCCCCTTTGACACAACAATTCTACTTCTTACCCATGTAAAAACCAACATAAATAGAAGATCATTAACTAGAGTAGTTTATAAAAGCAAAATATGGAGGCCATCTATGTATCCGCCAATAAAGGCTAATTTAAAAATCATGGTCCCCTACCCATAAAATTCTCTACTGCTGATTAAAAAAAAAAAAAAAAATGAAACCTCTATTTCTTAGGCAGAATCATGTGGTAACAAAAACTGCAATGTCCTATGGTTAACCTAATATACAAGGACATGGAACATACTTATAATCAGGAACATGGAGGGGGCCAAACTGCCTGAGACTGAATTCTGGCCCCTATACTCAATTTCTCTGTCACTCATTTTCCTCATCTATATAATGTAGACAGGAATATTTTTATCTACCTCACAGGTTACTGCAAGCACTCAATACATTAAATGTTAAGTGCTTAGAACAGTGTCTGATACATAATAAAAAGTAAGTAAGTATGTCATTATCTCTTAGATGCTTAGGTAAAAACTATAAAGGGCAAGACACAGTGGCTCATGCCTGTAATCCCAGGAGGTCAAGGCAGGTGGATTACTTGAGGCCACGAGTTCAAGACCAGCCTGGCCAACATGGCAAAACCCCATCTCTACTAAAATTACAAAATATAGCTGAGCATGGTGGCACACACCTGTAATCCCATCAGTTTGGGAGGCCCAGGCAGGCAGATCACTTGAGGTCAGGAGTTTGAGGCCAGCCTGGCCAACATGGAGAAACCCTGTCTCTACTAAACAT